ACTCCTGTCTTCACTTCAAAGGCATCACTGAGCTTCCCATTGTGGATTACTTGGCATGTGGCATCTTCATATAGTTGTTGAATGAGGCGGATAAAGGTTTGCGGTACTCCGTAGTATTGAAGCAGTTTCCAAATTACTTCTCGGTCGACGCTGTCAAAGGCCTTCTCAAAGTCGATGAAGTTGAGGTATAGAGCTGATTGCCATTCTACGCTCTGTTCTATGATGATACGAAGCGTTGCAATTTGGTCAGCACATGATTTGTACTTCCTGAAGCCTGCCTGTTCCGGTCGCAGTTTTGAATCCAGTGCGTCTTTAAGCCTCTCCAGGATGATGCGGCTTAATATTTTACTTGGGGTGGATAGGAGAGTGATTCCTCGCCAGTTCTTGCAAGCACTGAGGTCTCCCTTCTTCGGCAGTTTGACAAGGTAACCCTTCTTCCAATCGTCAGGTACCTTCTCTTCCTTCCACACCTTCTGCAATAGTGGTGTGAGCATGTCCGCTGTTGTCTCTGCATCTGTTCTCAGTGCTTCTGGCGGTATTCCATCTGGTCCTGCTGCTTTCCCGCATTTCAGTAGCTTTATGGCGTTCAGGACTTCCATTTTCGTTGGGGGATTTATGTTCACTTGTAATTCAGCGGCTGCAGGTGGTATTTCTGGACGAAGTGCAGGTGGTGGTCGATTCAAGAGCTTCTTGAAGTGGTCGGCCCATCGTTTCCTCTGTTTCTCTTCTTTTGTAATTAAATTTCCTTCTTCATCTTTTATTGGTTTCATCTGTGTTGGTCTCTTCCCTGATAGCAACCTGGTTATTTGATACAATGTCGTCAGGTCTCTCTTACCTGCAGCCTGTTCTGCTTCACTTGCCAGTGTGTCGTAGAAGTGTCGTTTGTCTTTGCGTGCACTCTTCTTCACTTCTTTATCCAGTGTTTTATACATTGTGCTCAGTTCCTCTTGTCGTTGAGCATCCTTGCACTGGTTTATCTTCTGCTTCACCATCCTCCTCTCCTCTATCAGCTTCCAGGTATCCGTCGAGATCCATTCCTTGTCTTCTTTCTTCTTCCTTCCTAATACTGTTGTGCAGGTTTCTTTCCACATAGCTTTCAAAGACTTCCAGTGTTCTTCTACACAGGTTTCTTCAGGGATGTCCCTCGACGTCTCCCATTTTGTCTTGATGGCTGCTTTGAAGATCTCCTTTGTAGTTTCATCCTTCAGTTTCCGAGTGTTGTACTTGAATTGAGGTCTATCACCAGCTTCCTTGAAGGCTTTTAACTTGATTTCGAAGGTTCCTTGCACTAGATAGTGGTCTGAACCTACATCTGCTCCTCTTCTTGACCTTGTGTTAAGTAGACTGCGTCTCCATTTTCTTGAGATTGAGATAAAGTCGATTTGGTTTTTAGTGTGTCCATCTGGTGAAATCCATGTCGCTTTGTGGATATCCTTGTGCCTGAACACACTGCCTCCAATCACCAAATCGTTGAATGCACAGAATTCTGCAAACAATTCTCCATTCTCATTCATTTCACCTAGCGCCTCTCGACCCATGGTTAGTTCTCTTCCCGTGTTGTCCCCTCCCAGTTTGGCATTCATGTCGCCCATTAGAATTTTGATATCGCCAACTGACGTCTTGTCCAGTGTTGACTGAAGTTGTCTGTAGAATTCCTCCTTTTTCTCTTGCTCTGCATTATTTGTAGGTGCATAACATTGTATGATTGTGACCTTTCTTCCTTTTGAGTTGAATCTTGCTGACATGATCCTGGAGGAGATTGGTTCCCACTGCATGAGAGCCTTCGATGCTCTTGAGGACATCATGATAGCCACTCCCTCAGTGTGCTCGTGGTTGGCGTCTGGGTGACCGGAGTAGATTATTGATTCTCCCGTTGACAGTTTGGAGAGTCCACTCCCATTCCATCTGCTTTCGCAAATCCCAAGCACTTCGATGTTATACCTTCTCATCTCCTTTGCAATCTGGGCTGCCTTACTGGGTTCAAACATCGTGCGGACATTCCATGTCCCCACGTTTACTTTCGCTTTCATCGAGAGAAGACACATCGGCCAATTGGCTTCCCGAAGGCTTTCACCAACTGGCGTCATTTCGCCTCTCCGATTCCAGCGGGGAATAAGTTTGTTTTCATTTTTTATATTTTGTTTGTGCTTTGAAGTTTCTTTAGCGGTTAGATTTGTTTTACGGGGTAGGGTTGCTAGCCCTATGCCCAACCTTCCCTCTTTACCCGGGCTTAGGACCGGCTAGTAACTAGTAAACTAGTTAACCAGGCGAGGTTGGTGGTGTGTCGACCACCTTGTTTATTTGGGGAGTTGCATCAGCCCAAACGGGCTGGTTGCTGACGAAATCTCAGCTCGGATGCAGAAGGCCAGTTTGGCATTTGCCAACTTACGTCACCTCTGGCGTCAGCGTGATATCCGGCTACCCATCAAAGGACGAGTACATTGCGCTGCAGTTCGTTCTATCCTGTTGTGCGGCTGAGGCGTGACCGTTAAATGTAGAAGATATAAAGCGATTGAGGGGTTTCGATCACGTTTTCGTAGCATTGTTTGCGTTTGGTGGGATCACCATGTGAGCAGTGTTGAAGTCAAGCGAAGGATACCAGGCAAATCGATTGATTAGGTTGTGAAACTTCACCAGCTGAGATGTCCTGGACATGTACCGCAAATGCTAAGCAACAGCCTTCCACGACCTACCACGGTAGGGGAAGTTGGATTGGATTGCCCAGACCAAGACGTGGCACCAGTCGACGAAATCATTGACTATTGGTCTGAGCCGTGTGGGGAGATGTAGACTATCTGCCTAGGATCCCCGAGATTATAAGAATCATTGGTTGAGGACTGTTGGCGATATTGCTGAAAGTCGGCCACAATGATGCAAATGTATTCCTTGACGTCTTCTAGAGCCTGAATACCTCCACTAACCGTTATCTTTAGGTTGCTTATTTTCTCATATAACTTTGTCTAATTTGATATCACTCGGGTTCTCTTTACTTGTGCTTTGTATACTGCTGTGAAGTGTGGCAACTTGTACCGATGCACTTATATGTGAGGTTCTACGCTGATTTTCTATGTCTGTCTGCACTTCCCTTCATAGCTCATAACAACAGTTACACTTCATAAACTGTGGTCACGTCGTAGTCTGGCTACCTAGAGCCGTTTTCCAATTCAATCAAAATTTACCCGATGCGATGACTCAGCATGTGACTCACTTCAGTCGGTGAAGGGGCACAACGTCATCGGCTGACTTCCCCAGTACTCCTTGTCATACCTCTACACTGACCACATGATCCCACCATACGCGAGACACCCGTTGCCAAAAATCTGTAGTCTCTTCATAATTTCTACCCTCAACGGTCATTTCTCTTAGTCTTATAACAGAACAGAGCAAACTGCACCGCGGTACACTTATCCTGTAGCGGGTAGTCAGATATCTCATCAGTCAGCGCCAGAGATGACGCAGGTTGCCGAACGTGAAACCACCCTTCTATATAAAAGGTGAGATTTCGTCAGCAACCAAACTGTCCGGGGTGGTGCGACTCCCCAGTTAGAGCGGTCAGCTTGTTCAACCACTTCATATTTTTCAACTGGAAATAGCTGCAGACCACCCTTGAAGCATAATCTTATATCTGACAGGAGCGAAACAAATGCCAAAAATACTCAGATTTCTGCTCAGAGCGTTCAGAAGACTATAGATTTTGTCGATGTTTTTACCCAACGGGACAGTTTTGTCTGCGTACTCTAAGTCAACCAGACACCTATCAGAACCTGTATGTGAATGACTACATCTAGTTCTGTTTTTTCCTCATCAAAAATGTTCTCCAAGACGGTTGGTCCAGAACTAACCAGGACCGGCAATCAAATCATCTAGTGTTATCAAACAATTTCGTTCCTACTGTTTATTGAGAAGTTATTCGGAGTTTCAAATAAGCGGTTGGATGAGTCATCAGCACGAGGACTGCTCTGAACCTTAGTGATAACAAACTACGTGAAAGCGATATAACTACAATTTTCAACTAGGGAAGTACTGCGAACAGATAGTGGTCGGATGAATAGAGTGAATCTGACCGAGTAGTTTAACAATCACGAGAGTTTACTAGTTCAGATCAATTGGAGTGGTGACAATTGCATAACTTTCATTGGACAAGAGCTAAAACAGAGCAAATCGCTATTAACTTCACAATTTGTGAAATATAACCACCTATATATAGCATATTGTTCCCATTCATACAGCATGTACCTGCTTGCGAACAAAAAGTGATCAACATTCTGAGGATGACCTTTCATTTCACCATATTCAATAACTTAGAAGCATGGTCATAAGTACAGAGAGGACCTATCATACCTTGGAAAAAATGTCCTAAGACCATATCCCAAAGTTGTATTAGAAAAAATTAGGTTGCCTGGCTCAAAAGATTCACGTATGAGGCATTAAAGCTTTTCAGATGGAAATACCGAACAGATGAATCATGAGATTCATACTTTATATAACCCTTAGTCTACGATCCAGGAGTTCTCAGTAATCGGTTGTCGAAACCACTTTGGAAATGAGAAAAGAATTCACCAATATATCAAATTTCCCTAGAAATCCCAGCCTCGAGATCGAGAGAAGTGTACTATTATTTTCTCTGTATTGGTTCTCTTTTATTTCTTGTTATCTAGCCTTCCAACTCAATATCTTTTATCGCTCATACAAGTGTGCATGATGAATATATGCGTGACCAGATTCTTCTAAATGTGCTGCACAAATACACCAATACCTAGTTCAACTATACGTATTTATGCTACCATAGAAATCTATAATAGAATGATTGTTTTAAAAACACCAACTTTAAATAAGCACTTTTAGCCACCTTGAGAGTAACATTTTCTATATTTGTATGATATTGTGCTACAAGGAAATGTTGATATGAGAAACTCTCAGCTTCTGTACGTGTTCACTTTGTTATAATTGTTTAATATGCGAGATGTCGTTTAACATTTGCAAATTGGGTTAATTTTCAGGTAATCAACGTCGAGCTCTACGGCTTGATAAACTTAAAGCAAGAAAATCTACAGTTCATGCCAAAGTCTGCAGTATTCAGTAGCCTTTTCTAACCAAATATCATTACAAGTGTATATAATCTAAAGGCTCAGACAAACTATTTAATGAAACTGGTCTGCCTTCAATCAACATCTGAGTTATTTTCTTCGTGCTGTGGAAGTTCTTTTTAATTTCCCTCTATTTTTATGGAAAATAAAACGAGTATCCTACTATGAGTAGCCATTTTGTTTGCAATAAATCCAATCAATATCAAGACACTTCAACCAACAGTGAGTGGAGAAAACGATAAGCTATATTCAGCGCATGTATCTCCAGATTCTTTTGTCCCTTTTGATATTTCTCTGCTGTAAGCTTTTATTCATGTGGTTACAATTTTTAAATCTCCTACAACATAAGTTCTAACGACTTTGACTAAAAAAGGAAAGTCATATTTACAAAAGATAAACTGGAACTATGTAAATAGACACTAGTAGTTATGAACATCTCCCAGTTACTCCGAAACCGAATAGTTTGTTTGCTACCTGTCCACAAACTATCATATGCATTTACGTGCACTATTACACTACACACATCGATTTAAGATTATGTATACTAGCTTCACCCTTTACTCTAAACTGATAAACATCCCACATCATATTGTTTATTCTTGGAGGTAAACACGTTCGTATTACATTTATTGAGTCTTACGAAAGCTGAAGTAGATTAGAATGAAACCTAAGAGTTAGCCGTTAACACTGTATTTCGACGTTTCCACCAGCCAGTGACCAATGCTAATTTGAATGGAATTTTGGGATTTATACTGATGTACTATGCTCTTTTCATATTACTCACCTGAACACCATTATCTTGGATTACTTACGAATGAATTCACTCAATGATCGATATTCGAAAATCCTACATACTATTCAACTCACCCTCAACAGCCACATTCAGGATGCAACTTCGCTTAAATTTAGATCACAGTACTTAATATTGACAAGAAAAGAAAGAGCACAAATGAATAGCTAGATGCAAGTTTAAAATAATATTTACCAACATTCAACGAACATATCAATGTATGTTGCAGAGAAGTGCATCGGTTCAAGTCAGCACACCTCATAAAGTTGAAGAAAACAATGTTAGAGCGGTACACAGATACATCTGTGCCATTAATATCGGTCTCCAGCCACATCACCGAGGGTATCTAACATCTAGAGGATACTAGCAAAGAAGTCTAGGAATCATAGATTAACAGTAAGCGACTTCATGGATTGTCATTATGTGAACGAATTAATCATACTTTAGCTAATATATTTCTGTAGCTCAGTATGCACAACACATTTCCAAGCCACCTCGGTGAAAATTCAAACTCTGTTGCCATCATAAACAAAATTTAGGTAAAAACTATGCTGAGAAAACAGCGGGATGTCCTGACGACCGACTTCTAGCTTCATGAAAGCCCTAACTTGATATCTTCAACTTCCGCATCACCCAGTTCAATGACCACTGAGATCCTTCTAACTTACTTGTGCGAAACCAATGTATCAGAAATAGGACATTAATGAGCTGTTTCTTGACAAACTTCGACCTTTACGTATAAACTTATCATACGAAATTGGGTTGTTTTCGGAACCAGTCATAAGAGCAAAAGTCTACACCAGGTTGTGATAATTTGTATGAATCCTGTTTAAGATTTGATCGTATAGTTTCACAAATATTGGCATCAGATATAAGTCATATTTGTATTGATCTCAGGGTGTTTGAAATAAATAGTTTCAACTTTCTGCATAGAAGCCTGGTCCGAGCTCCTTCAGGGAAATAATTTAAAACCTACATTACCATATATATATATATATATATATATATATATATATATATATATATATATATATATATGGGCAACAGTAATGGACTAACAATGAGAAAAGTTGCTAACTACAAAGAAATTGAAAAAACCTAACCACATGATCTCAAAACACACTTATACTCACACCAGTCGCAATGAATCATATTCTCATCAGTACTCGCCACATCTGAGTAACCCACATTTTATGTTGTTTAGCCTTAGTACTTTTAGCAAATCACTTCCTCACCAGTATAGATTTTAACCTAACTGCGTAGAACGGAGATGAGCTAATAGAATATGTTATCAGAAGCTAAAGAAAAAAGGAATTGATTTTAAACGACCTGAATAATAAAAAACACCCAGCAAAAGCAAATCACTTAAACGACACATGAAATGAACTAACGGTGTTCGACGTTTCTTGAATTTATCTCAACTACCACTAACTTTCTTGTAGTTTTGTTTCATCATCAACATAGGACCAGGTATTACTGCGTAACGGTCCGAAATGCCACACTTCATATCAGTAAAAGAGCAGTGAGGTGCAAGATGAAGAAGAGAAAATCCAGTCAAAAGAAATATAAAGTATGAAAAGAATGAGAAAACGGTGAGATTCGGTATAGCGTCGTTAGGATGAGGATGATAAGTGTATACATTTATGCCACTGACATCGGTTCTAGACCATATCACCTACAGTCAGTCCCCAACCACTGGTTCCTCGTGTCCCGCGGCCCCCAATCGGCTAGTCTGCATCGCCCGTGACTGAAACCAACAGTCAGAGACTTCATACATTGATGCCATGTTTTAGTCTGGCCACCTCAGGCCTTTTTCCAGCCTGGACCTACTTCGGCCATTACTGTGTGACAAGGCGATCGGTGACTAGGGATACGTAACATGTGTCCCAACCATCTCAGTCAATAAAGGTTCATAACCTCATCAACTGACTTGTCTCTACTCCCTAAAACTCTATATCTGACATCTGCGTTACTCGCGTGGTGACACCACGGAATACGGCCTACACTACGAAGGCAACGGTGGTCAAACACTTGAAGCCGGCCTTCTCATGTCTTCCACCTTCAACGGCCATGTTTCACAGCCATAAAGTAGAACAGACCGAACTACTGTGCAGTACGCGCGACTCTTAATAGACAAACGGATACCACGGCGCTACCATAGGTGGAGTAAGTTGGCAAAAGTCAGCCGAGCCTCTTGTATCCGTGCAGAGATCTCATCAGCCACTAAGCCAAAAGTGTTGACCCTACTTTCCAAGTAAGTGAAGTGGTTGAAACACTCAACCACTACACGCTCTATTGTTAGCTGCGGTGGGCACCGTTGAAGACCAACCCTGGAGCAACAGTTTGCAGTTGGGTGGTGAGAAACGCATCCCAAACATTCTCCAACTGCCATTTAAAGTGTCCAGAGGACTCCGCATCTTGTCAGCGTCTTCACCTAACACGACTATGTCATCTGCATATTCTAGGTCTAACGAAAATTCACCTGCGATTAGGCCAACCTCTGTGTGATCAGGTGACGAGAGGGAGACCTCTGTGAGAATATCTATGATAAAATTGAATAAGAATGGAGAGAGTGGGCACCCTTGACGGACACCGCTCGATGAGTGCAGCTCAACTGACATCTTACCATAGGCTCTAACAGGCCCACAAGTGTTCGAGTAGAGAACCTTCAATAAGGTGATGTACTTACTCGGCACGCCTTTTAGTGAGAGACATTGCCATAAGACTTGTCAATCAACGGAGTCGAATGCCGCCTTCAGGTCGAGAAATACAGGTTGCTGGTTGACAAGAACTCCGGTGCAAATACTTCCTGGACATTCACGGTGAGTACGGACATGTATTTTAAGGTGTTAATCGTTTAGACAGAAACCTAACTGTTCTTTTTGATTTAATTGGGAGGAACTGTTGCAACAACCGACTGATTCTAGGTAAACAATACCGGGGAACTATTGGAGATAGAAGTGCTCAAGTGAAACATTATATCCCAAGGAATTTTGAAACCAGAAGACAATGCCATCTGATTAATGATACCTTTCACGATAAGGAAATTTTACCCGTTTCGACAAAATTTTTAAACCGTTCACCACCTGAATGGCACATAGTATCATCAAGTTCGAATCACACCATCAAATGATGCGAAACAACACATGACCTAACGACAAAAGTTTCCCCATCCAGGTTTTTACATTTTACACTGCAGCAGGATATCAACAAGAGGAAAATTAGTGCAATTTTAATAACGATATCAGTAGTAGTGAAAAACAAAAGCAGTCAATACATATGGATCATTATAATCATACTGATATTAAGGATGATCTTGTCAACAGACCTTATTCACTTCATGAATTACAGCCGACAGTCTTAAAGGATCTTAAATAGGAACTTTACAAAGTCAGGAGTGATTATAAAAATGGCTTTTAGAAATCCTACACTTCTGATTGCTTAGACACCGACACAGCATTTCAGCTGCTTCAAACCAATGCATATAAAGGTAATTCATACTTAAGGACAACGTTGATATATAGTAAAAGCACACCAGAATTAATTTAATTCTTAAAATTCCCATATGGAAACAAGAGCGTCCTACATTTTTGTTTTAAGAGTAGGTTATTGGAACAAAATAGTTACAAAAGTGAATGTTAGACAAGTGATCACCAAGAAAAGGTCGATAGGCGCTCCTCAAGATACAATAACAGCTTTTCAGGTTTTCCACGAGTAAAACCAACAAAACCAGCTTGTTCGGGTGGTATTTCAGGACCTAATAGCTTCTGGAGTTCAGGCAGAGGTAAGTCCTAAATAAGAAAGGGAAGAAGAAGTGAAAAATATCTCAATTCCTAATGTATAAAACTTCTAATTTTCTTATCACATATGGACTAACCCCATTATGTGCAAATGAGAAGGATAAGTAGGCTGAACTCCCGTCCAAACCAAACGATTGAGTGATGCAGGAGTACAAACTAAAGCATGCTTTCCTTGTAACAAAGTAAGAGCAAGTTCTTCTTGATGATTATCCATCAATGAATCGTTAATGACAACAATTAGTCGACGGCTTCCACGTGGAGTAAGGGCTTGTAAGCATGTACCTGCACCCCCATGGCTAATAATCAGAGATGCATTGGCGAATTCGGCTTCAAGAGAATCTTTGTATCGAAAGGCTGTGATATTTAACAAGTTTCTCGATGAATCCTCGACATTTTTGGTATCAAATTTATCAGAAACGCGAGGTACGACTGATCCATTTCCATATTGTATAATCAAATTCTTATATCCCAACCTCGAAAGACCTTCGTGAAACTCAGCCTTGTTAACTTCATCAATCAAGTCGTCGAATGAGGTTGTGCCAACAGTAACGAATGCAACGGACATTTGTATCACTGTGTTAATCACACAGTAGTCGTAAGCAAATATTTGACATTCAAGTCTTAGATGAGCTGTACTTGAAACCAGTAAGTCTACCTTTCTTATCAACCTAAAATATTATAGAATAGAACAATAAGCATACTGGTTCAAGGCAACACAGGTGGAAAGCACGCCTGACAAGTGCACACTCGTTAGGAAAGTTTTCCGGTTCTAAACACTGTCGAGGAGTGAGTTTTTTCTGAAAGATAACTTATGACCTTGTGCATAAACTTACCTCTTGGCAACAAGAGCTACGTAGCAAGCAAAATAGTAACTCAGTCTTTCGTTCGTCACAAGGCCCTTTTTTCTTCATCTACGGAAAGCAATCTTTCTGAGTTGCCGTAATTCTGGAACTTTTCGTATCCAGATAGACAGTGAATTTCGTTGGTTTATGGAGTTTGGAGATCAGTCCCACTAGGTATACAAAATAATGTTTAAAAAACTATTAGTGGTTAATTAAAATATAGCTGACATTTATAAAACGATAATTATCGTACTTGAATATATCAGCACATCTATCGAAAAGGGAAAGTATCGTTATGTTACCTTACAAGTTCTATAATTTGAGGTTTGACAAAGGATGAAATATGTGGCTTACGACAATTAGTAACACGGTTGAATCTTGTTACGGAAATATCATCAGAGCACAACGACCAGTTAATATCAATATGGGACCTAGTATTACCGGGTAGCGCTTCAAATTGACGTACCTCACATCGACAAATTAAAATATTAGCTAACAAGATTATAGATAACGAAGTAAAGAAAGAAAGTAACTAAAAGTGGTGAAAAGTCGTTTAAAAAACAACGAAGGGATAAAACAACGATTGAGATGATGTGTCGATGTAGCTGCGCCACAAACCTATTCCGAGCCAGGTGTCATACATGATTTCACTGAGTTCCAAGCTCAGCTCAACAATGACAATACTAAAGCTGCCTTGGAAGAGAAAATGACTAGACAGTTATCAGAACGGGTCAACGTTAATCATCTTGAAGAAGCCTGGGATCATCTCCTGTCTGCTGTAGAAATAGAGTAGAAGACTGCGACTCCCAGAAGAAAATTGGAAAAGGCCATTGGATCTCAGCATCTGAGGAAATGGATGGACATGAAATGAACGCGCGGTGTGTACGTTTTAGTGGTGTGGACAATTGCCTAGACTACCCAGTGAAGGACTTCGAATACCTTTGGTCACCGATGGGATAAAGCTTGCGAAGATGTGGCTCGCTGGTCTAGGTACTCGATTTTAGGCCGATAAGTTACGGGTTCGAATCCGGCTTCACCAACCAAAGTTTGAGCGGCTAGGTAGCACCACAAACCAAACCAAAAAACCGACGCAAAAACCTTTTGCAGAACTGTATCGCTTCAAGTTACCACACTTCATGGCAGTGTGCAAAATGACTGACGGATAGAAGGAGAATGATATAAAATTAGACCAAGTTATATGGGGTGAGAAATTCGAAAACTAAGGTTGCTGAAGGTACTTAAAGCCTAGATGACGTCGGGAAGTTGATACACGCGCGCCATCGTGACAGATCTTTGGCCATGTTACCAAGGGTTTCCAACCACTGGTCCCCATCATCTCGAGGAGCTCCAACCAAGCAATCCGCACCCCTAACATAAGAGCAAAACGTGGGCGCTGTGATCGATTGTAATTTCATTTTGGTCTATTAGTTGGAAGCATCACATAATGAAAAAGCGGCACTTACTGGTAAATGCTACTATTTCACTGTGCGATACTTCTAATAAACAGACTAAAAAAGTCTGCACCCGGCCACACACACACGACTAAGGGACCAAGAGTCAGAGACTTTGTAGTTCCACTTCTCACTTTGGTAATCATGAGCTCTCTCCTAACCTTACCAAACTTCTCTACAGTTCACGTCGAGGTAGGAGGTAGATCGGTATGCGCGAAGCCCGTCCAAACGCCCTCACTCACTGAAGGTTCACATTCTCCTCGATCGACTTGCTTAGTAGGCCTCACCTAACCGCGACATCGCTCACACGGTGGTTCCACCATACAAGAGGAATACTGCAAAGACACTTACGGTCGGAAATCTGTGATTTCTTCATATATCGTACCCCGCCTTTAATGGCAATGTCGGCCGTAAGACAGGATAGAACGGACTTCAGGGCAGCATACTCACCCCTTATTAGGTAGTTGGATATCTCGCCAGTTAACATTAGAGACGGTGCGAAATTAGCCTTCTGTATCAGCAATCACCTCGCCCCGGCTGATGCGACTCCCTAAGTAAGCGAAGTGGTCAACCATGATATCGCTTTTTCTGTCTACCTGTTTTTGCATATCACTTTGAAGTGTGGCAACTTAGACCGAAATAACTGCGTGAGGTTCTAAGTTGATTCTGTCTGTCCGTTTGTCCACCCGTTAAACTTCACTCACTACCCTTAAACTATGAGTAGTTGAAGGCCAGTTCTGAAGGATTATCTTGCGTTTGACAGGTGCAAAGCGCATGTCAAACATTGACAGATATCTAAATAATGGAGAATGTTTGTAGCTCAGGTGGGTGGTCTTGGCTATATTGTGTTCTCTGAGCAGGGCTTCTTAATCGATTAAACAGCTCAGCTCAGAGAACACAATACAACCAAGGTTGACAGATATCCGCTTAACGCGTTCGGTAGACTATTTTATCAGCATCTTCACCTAGCAAGACAGTGTCGTCTGAGTAGTCCAAGCCAACGAGATGACCTCCAGGGAGTAAATTAATCCCCATGAAGTCAGACGTACCTAAAGTTATTTCCATGAATAAATCCGTAACGACGTTGTACAGGAATTTCGACAGCTAGCATCCCTGCCAGACACCACTAATTGTCGGCAATTCTGATGATAACTCTTCACGAGCTTCAAAACGGCTTCCTGAGTCTGAGAAAACACCTTCGCTTAGGGTTATACGCTTGGTCGGCACAGGCATGAATAAGATAATGCCACAACGCCTTACGGCAGACAGAGTCAAACGTCGGCCTCGGCCAAACAACATGACGAGTGTTGTCTGCTGGTAAGTATATTAGTGCTTCATAACTTGACAGAGGTTAGAGGGATGATCGATGTTTCCTTGCGTAGATATGAAACCTCCCTGGTTTTCTCGAGTTTGCTACTTTCAGGCTCCATTTAGGAGGCGGATAACTATGAACCCAGGATCTTGAGCACTATGTTGGTTAGACTGATCCACCTATGGTTATGCCGAGTTGTAGCTCATTATTTTAAGGGACTGAATTTCAACCAGTGGGTCGTGGATTCGGGCGCCACTCCGCTTAATGGGGTCTAGACAGCCAGGTAGAACCACTAGTCATCAAACAACAGGTGTGGTTCACTGCCTACCGAGCAAATGTGTAGAGAGTTTCTAGGTGGGTTTTGATTCTGATTTTCACCGTTGTCGTCACATGAAGATATCTCATACGATAGGACAGTCAGTGAAGTATACCAGTCTGATTGGACTGCTTCTGACGCCCATACGCTACCTAGTACTTCCATCACTCAGTAACTCCATACCCCCATCCATGAGATCTCTGTGCTGCAAGCTGTCAGGTCTGTGATACGTTGAAGCGCCACAGGTTTGAAACAGCCTTGTCAACTTCGAGGAGAGTTGGGAGGTTGACATCATTCATCGTCAGGGTCAACGCACGGCCAAATATTACTGCGTAGCTGTCCAAGTTCCCACACCTCACATCGGCACATTCAGGTTCGGGTTGGAGGCTAGGTGAGTGAAGGGATGCTGCGGGTCACCGACACTATGCTTCGGTGTTTCAGCCTTTCAGTCACCTGTCCTGAGGTTACCAGGGTACCTTTCTTTCCGCTCACGGACTCACTGTTATTTTCTTGTCAGTATCCTTAATAAACCTAAATAATTGCTACTTATTACCTAATGCTGACGCCTTCTGCATTTCTCACGCTTTCGCCATCCACCACCGTTCGTGATCATTGTTTATGTTTGGGCTGCTTTCACTCCTCACTGCGGTTAGCGTCAGCTGGAATAGATCTTCTCGAACTAATCATTTCGCATGATGATGCTAAAATACGATGGAGTTTGTTAACCTTTGGATGTAGGTTACCAACTGTCTGTACTGTTGTTTCTACGGCAGACTTAATATCATGCCACATTTCCTCCTGATGAGGACTGCTATCACATTCAAATAAATACTCACCTATCTCCTCTCTAGATACGTACTCCATGATTTCGTTCCAACCAAGCACACACGCCTCACTGATGCTTTTTCTGAAATTAACAAGGCGGGGGCATACGCGTATCCCTACTAAGGTGTGTATGGCGAGAAAGGCTTTGAAAATCAAAGTTACTGAGAATGTTCAAAATATCTAAGGGTGAATGCATCCGTGCCACAGTAACAGATTTTTAGCCAGTTTGCCGAACTTCTGCAACCAGTGATTCCTATAATCTTGAAGACCTCGATGATGAAGTTTACATCCCCCACTCGGCTTAGATGAAGTCAGAAACTACACAGACCAGCGCAACATCTCGTTCTGGTTACTCTGAGCTACCTTTGGATCTCACCCCAGTTCATCTAGGATAACATGTTTTGACAGCTTAAGTCGGTGAAAGTTCAGTAACCTTGCCGACCGACCCCAGTATCTTCTCCAGTCAGCTGGCAACTATTTACCCTTCCGACTGTTAATTTGCCGGGAACTGTTCGGTCTACGCTTTGCGGCTTTGTTGCCTTAGCGGTTGTTAGCCTACTAACAGTCGGCATGATTATTGCCTAATGCATGAAGGATTAAATAACTGTCAGTCTTATGTTTTAATGTCTGCTGGAGACAGAGTCAATCACACGCTATTAATAGTTGTGTGTAGCGACTGACGATAAGGTTTTGTGCACACAAAAGCTGGAATGATGTCTGGTTAGCCCTATGCGAGACTGACTGACTAACTGATTGGAAGGCTAAACTTGATGCTGCACTTAGTACATCGCGTCTGATAAATCCAAAATGCTTTCACAGGCGTTCGTGCTAACGAACGCCCGAGAATGATTTCAAGACTTATTAAACGCTGTCACAAACATCTGCAGCATTAAGATACAGCTGTGGATGGTGGAAGTTTTGAGCACAACCGAGTGATAAACGAGTTCAGACACTTTATAAATGAAGTATAGGTGCAACAACAGATCAAGCCAGACCTAATTTAGTCGTATTTCTAACCCATTTTCAACATTTTGCAACAAGCCCTCCATGCCGTGCCAATACTTGTTTATAGTGCATTTGGATGAACATCTCAATTCTCCAGCAAACAAAGCAAGATCCAGCCGGCAAACACTTTAGGTAAACTTACATTTTCGGAGAAAAAACG